GCTGTCTCTTCTGCCTGTTCCCATGGGCTAAATACTGAGTTATCCTCATATCCAGGAACTGAGTGACACAGACCTTGAAATAATCCTGTTTAATAATTTATGAGGGAGAGAGTAACATGCAAAGACCTGGTGAAGGAAGGTAACAGGACATACACAACATAGCATGGGCAAGGAGAGAACCTGAAGCTCTGAGCTTAAATGGAGCTCCTGGACGAAAGGGCGGAAGGTTTGTGGGTGGGGGTCCTAAGTGAGGCTGCTCATGTTAATTATAGCCAACCAGCGCACCGAGGGGTCTCACATCAGGCACTGACGATGCAGGGAATGTGACCACTAGTGGGGAAGTTGGAAAAATGTCAGTGGATATACTACTGTAGTCACTGTACTCTTAATGGCTTGCTGATGATGGCGTTCAGGCAGAGAAAAGGGAGCTGGTTTGAAAATATATTTGCATTATAAATAGCTTCACACAGTTCTGGGTCCTGTTCTCTTTGTAAGGCTGGAGAGGAGGAACACAGCCTCGCTTGCGAAAGGACAGAAGCAGGTATGCACTTGAACCTAATGTAAAACTTTCCCACTTACCCTAAATGCAAATTATCTGGCTGAGTTTTTGCAAATGCACCCAGGGTAACAGAGAACAGACTGTGGCGTGTCTCCTATGACTCTTTTGTTAGTTTCAGGAAAATATGATGTGATTTGACAATGTATTTTTGTTGTGCCCTGCACAGCAAGAGCGTACCCGTATGTCCGGTGCAGTACAGGAGAAAGGACAAACACCTCTGGAGCGCTTGTGTTTGGTTTTGCTCAGCAGCTTGCATTTACTCTGCTGTTCCCTGCCTGTGCGTGCTTCTCCTCTCCACCAAAGGCACCGTGCTGGCGCCTGGCAAGAGCACGTTCCTGCTGTCTTGGTGGGGGGCAGTTGGGATTCCCTTGTGTTTGAAATACACTGTTTCTTTGGCTTTCTTCTGCCCGTGGAAGCTGGCAGGGATTGTTCCTCTTCAGGCAGCTGATTCCTGCTTGCGCTGTGTTTCCTTCTTCTGAATTGTCAGAAATCGATACTGCTGATAAAACATGTTAACAGCCTTTGGTTCCCAGGGACTTATCACATAAGCTGGTTTTTTTTTTTTCCCTAGGCAGAGACCAACCAAGAGATTGTAATAGGAGACAGACTATATAGTCCATGTTTGCAGACTGTATATAGTCAAGAAACACTAAGGGTGGTGTCTCCATACCGTAACTGGCACATTTTCATGAAAACTTTACACTAATCAGCTTGCCCTAAGCGGTAGTTGCTGTTGGAAGGGGTATGCCACAGATTGCCAGACTGCAGAGGGACCATCGGTTCTCTGAGCTCCAGCAAGTCATCTCTTGGAGACTGCCAAAATATGTCTCAAAAATAACGAGCACTCAAACCTCCCTTTTGGTTTATCTGCTCTCCGCCAGAATTCTGCGTGGGGCTGTCTTATTTGCCGTAGAAAGAGCTACGTTTCACGCTCCTCCTGTCAGACTGCTATTTAAGGCTCTGCTTAGCATTCATATTTCTTTCTTGTCACAATTGTTTTCTTTTTTCATTTGTTTTTTCGAACCAGAGCTATAAATCTGGAAAGCATTTTACATGCTGTGTTAGGGCTTGATTGAAATCCTATTGAAATCAATGAAAGCTTTCCTATTGACTTCAGTGGACCAGGTGCTTGAGAAATAAGGAAAAATGGTCTGTTTTAAAATAAGAAGAATTGTATCCATGTCATAATGTTTATTACCAATAGCAGGAAATAAAACAAAACATATTATGCATGTCTTTTCCCAACAGGCCTCATATATCATTTAACTGCTACCTACATGCACTCAGCTGTGACACGGAGTGCAGCAACAGCTGTTCTGGGGTACCTAATAATTCTGCTTTATAAACACAAACATCTGAGGAAAAAGAAAATACCCTTATCTGATTGATGCGAATGTTCATATAAAATTGAAATTACACAAGAGAGAAACATCCAGCAGAAGCAAATGTCACAACCTGCTTCTGAGAGCCTAGAAGGAAACGCTCCTTTGTAGCCTCATTTCTACAAATCTTTGTGTAGAAAATATTTCTTTAATGACTCACACTTTCCGTGGGTATTGTTAGGAAACCTTGATCTTCCCTTTTAATTTGTAGTAAAGCTTGCGGCTGTGACCTGGTTATTAAAAGTACTGAGCCAAAAAAAAAAAAAGGTAAATATTACGAAGATGTAACGAATGCTTCTGATACTGGTCTAGGTAATTAAACATGGATCCAGGAGTCTAAAATGAAAGTATGATATCTGCATGTTACTTTGTTGGCAAAAGTACTCTAGTCTGCCGATGAGCTAGTTGCAATAAAGACAAGTCTCAAGTCTCCAGGGATTTTATGGAGATGTGAGGATACTCAGGCCTTGTCAGAATTGCATTCTCAACTAATACTGAAAATAATTATAGTTGTAGTATTGCAAAATGTAATTTTGCTAAGACAGTATTTAAAGCCTGAATCAAACTTTCACAAGCTGACGAGGAAAAAAGGAAACAATGCGGAGAAGTCTCTGAAGTGCATGCAAAAACAAGTGCTGCTTTAGTGATGAAGTATTTGATAGTGCCTTTTTATCAGCATGCAGTCATGTGTTTAAATAGCATGAGCCATAGATGACTGTTGCAGCTTGTCATTTGCCTTATGGGAGGCAAGAAAGAGCTTCTTGTTTGATTTGTAAGATGAGCTAGCTTGTTGCGCAAGGCAACTGAGGAGACGCTGTAGAGAAGTCCATAGTGAAATATTTCTTAAGCTTTGTTGGACTCCCGCCACAAGGGAGTGCAGCGAGTGTAGTCGCAGTGCGAGGAACATTGTGAAAGGGCTTAGAAAGGAAACATACCTTTAAAGATCATGGCAAAAAAACCCCAAACCCAAAAGACCTCAGCTGGTCAGTAAATTACAGAGATGGTAACAAAAATAGGTGTGTGCAACAAGAGAGTATGAAACAGAAAATAGGAAACCCTAGAACTGAAAAATGCTGGGCTTGTCTTACTTTTCCACTGCTCTTAGACGTTAACATAAGCGCTTTCGAAACTAGTAAGACAAAGCTAAAGCTGTGCTGATAAGTTCCTGATTTCTCCTCAGGTCACAGTGTTTTTAAGTACGGGCAAACAATCTGAGACCCGCTCCTGAGATCAGTGGAAGCGGATGAGGAGGAAAGTACGACGGGTGAAAGTACGACGGGTGAAAGTACGACGGAGTTGCTCTGCACGTTGAGAACACAAATGTGACTTTCTTGAAGCAGTGGAGATATGCAAACTTCATTTATGTTTCTTTGTGATTACCAGAAAATTGCAACACTTCCCTAAGCTAAAAATGGTTTGCTGCTTTAGCTTTCCAAGTTTAATATCCATTATAAATGACTCTACTGATATTCACATTGTATTACATGTCCCACTTGGTAAATGCAAATATGCAGCAGAGGTGAACAAAAACGTCCTTTTCCCAGCTGTGGTTAAGGCGTAGATAGAAATAAATCAACAGCCAAAACAGGCATGTGAATGTGCTGAATGCATCATCTCAGATCTACGTGTGATGCGCCAAATCAGCTTTTGGTCTCTGAGACAAACCGTGACCCGCTGGTGTTAACCAAGATAGAAAATGGAGAGGGCTGTACATTGGTCTGACCAAACCACTGATGTTCAGTGTGATCTTTACATCTAAGAAAAACACTGTTAGTTCAAATATGTAAGAAAAAAATGCAATAGGGACAAATTCTTTTCATCGCTTGCCTTTATCAAAGCAACTCGAGATAGACCTGTTCCACAGTGCAGCAAAATCAGTGGCATCTTCTGCTTTTATAAAATAGGGCAATTTTGTCTCATGCTAGAATAGAAATCAGTGTTTCTATTTGGAAAACAAATGACAGGCTTTTCACTTTTCATGAGACATTTTGGAAAGGCGGCTAGACACCTCTGCTTTTATCAGTTTTTCACTTTTTTCGTTTGCCAAGCAAGAGCAAGAACCCACACAGTGGAAACTTATTTTTAGTAAAAACCCACTGTTCATTTCTGTTCTTCCATCGCGGTAGCCAGAACGTTTAGTTGCAAGTGAAAATAAAACCTAAAGTAATTACACTGGAAGGAAACTATGCAGCAGTAAAAGCTTGGTTTTAGCTGTTACATTGTCCATTGACAATATAAATGATTTTATGGGTTATTTGTGCAGGCTTTTCCTCAGTAACAGGAGAGAGAAAACGCTGTAAAACAGCAGCGTTGCGCAGGCCCTTCACAGCTCACAAAACGAGAGAGGGGAGGGTGGTGTAACACCCACAGCCATGTTTTCAGTGTTATTCCCGTGGGGATGTTGCCGTGGCCGTGGCCGTTTCCCGCCTGGCCCCCGCTGCCTGCGGACGAGGCGGCGCTTGAACGGGCCGCTAGAGGGGGACGCAGCCGAAGGGCCTGAGGGGGAGCGCAGGCCCCGGCGGCCGCGGGGGCAGCTCCGCCGCTCTCCCCTCAGCGGCAAAAGGGAAGCCAAACGCGGGCCCTGCCGGAGCCTCCCCTCTCGAGGTAAAATTAGTGGCCAGGCCTGGCAGGAGAGGGAAAAGGCGAGCGCCAGCGCCAGCGCCATCCCCTCGCCACTCCGCCTCAGCGCCGGCGGACCGCGGGCCGTCCCACCA